AATGAACCAACCAATCAGAGCGCCGAACGCGTACTCGTTACGATTACTTTAAACGTATAACAAACTTGTACTAAGGTCTCTGGTCGACGGATCCTTCTTTACCGATCTTAGGGAACGTTACTCTCTGTTCCCTAAACCGATTCAATCGAACCGTCTCAAAGAGTTCATTAGAGTTTTTTTATGAAATAGGAGGCAAACGAGCAGACGGATCACCTGATGGTAAGCGATTAGCGCCGCCCAAGACACCAGCAGCACCAGATGAGTCACAGGTGCGTTGCCGGCCCTTTAAAAAAGAATACGCTCTTTTCTTGAAGGTTTGAAGGTCGTATCAGTCCGGAAATACCGCCGACGACAGATCATTCTACAGTTTTGCAGTGCGAGGCAGGAAGCTACGTGAGAAGCGCACAGTTGTGGCCTGCCATCTATATGATGGGGATGTATATGCTGTCATGAGGGTTGATGGCGAAAAGATGCGGCAGGTATCAGGTCAAATAGTTTCTCAGAGCACTCCCCATGGTATAAGCGGTAGAAAATGCACAATGAAGCTACATCTTAACGCATTGCCAAAATGTGTAGCAGGTTTGAAACATCCCGACATCCAACTATCCGAACGGCACGTCGCTGAAGGCGATCCAGAGGAAAAAGCTGGTACTGGGGTGCCCCTGCCCATAGATGAGAACATTAGAGTGTTTTCAAAAGTGTCTCAGCTTTCAAGCTGTTAATTTAGACTGACTGCCTCGTTGGCCGAGTGGTCGCAAGTGCGACTGCCGGGCAAGGGGTCTCGGGTTCGATTCCCGGGTCGGGCAAAGTATTACTGGGGTTTTAAAAATCTGAGTAGTAGTACGGAGGCTGGGAATGTGCCCGGTTTATGGCAATAGGCTCACCCCCTATTACATGGGACTCATAACATAAATAGTGAAAAGTGGGTGTTACATTGTACAGTGGCATAATGTGCACCTCTGCCTACCCCTTCGGGGATAAAAGGCGTGATGTTATGTTATGTTATGTTATGTTAT